ATCTGAGGGAGATGGGAAGGGGCTGGAAAAGCGGGAATGGGAATGGCTGAGGGATCTGGGAAGGGGTTGAAAAAGAAGGAATGGCTGAGGGAGCTGGGAAGGGGCTGGAGAACCTGGAATATCTGAGGGAGATGGGAAGGGGCTGGAAAAGCGGGAATGGGAATGGCTGAGGGATCTGGGAAGGGGTTGAAAAAGAAGGAATGGCTGAGGGAGCTGGGAAGGGGCTGGAGAACCTGGAATATCTGAGGGAGATGGGAAGGGGCTGGAAAAGCGGGAATGGGAATGGCTGAGGGATCTGGGAAGGGGTTGAAAAAGAAGGAATGGCTGAGGGAGCTGGGAAGGGGCTGGAGAACCTGGAATATCTGAGGGAGCTGGGAAGGGGCTGGAAAACAGGGAATAAGGGAGCTGGGAAGGGGCTGGAGAGCCTGGAATGGCTGAGGGAGCTGGGAAGGGGCTGGAAATCTGGGAATGGCTGAGCTGGGAAGGGGCTGGAGAACCGGGAATAGCTGAGGGAGCTGGGAAGGGGTGGGAAAAGCAGGAATGGCTGATGGAGCTGGGAAGGGGCTGGAGAACAGGGAATGGTTGAGGGAGCTGGGAAGGGGCTGGAAAACTGGGGATAAGGGAGCTGGGAAGGGGCTGGAAAACAGGGAATGGCCGAGGGAGCTGGGAAGGGGCTGGAAATCCGGGAATATCTGAGGGAGCTGGGAAGGGGCTGGAGAACTGGGAATGGCTGAGGGAGCTGGGAAGGGATTGGAAAAGCAGGAATGGTTGAGGGAGTTGGGAAGGGGCTGGAGAACTTGGAATGGCTGAGGGAGATGGGAAGGGGCTGGAAAACTTGGAATGGCTGAGGGAGCTGGGAAGGGGATGGAAATCCGGGAATATCTGAGGGAGCTGGGAAGGGGCTTGAGAACCAGGAATAAGGGAGCTGGGAGGGGGCTGGAGAACCTGGAATGGCTGAGGGAGCTGGGAAGGGGCTGGAAAACTGGGAATGGCTGAGGGAGTTGGGAAGGGGCTGGAGAACCTGGAATATCTGAGGGAGATGGGAAGGGGCTGGAAAACTTGGAATGGCTGAGGGAGCTGGGAAGGGGCTGGAAATCTGGAATGGGAATGGCTGAGGGAGCTGGAAGGGGGCTGGAAAAGCAGGAATGGTTGAGGGAGTTGGGAAGGGGATGGAAATATGGGAATGGCTGAGCTGGGAAGGGGCTGGAGAACCGGGAACAGCTGAGGGAGCTGGGAAGGGGCTGGAAAAGCAGGAATGGCTGAGGGAGCTGGGAAGGGGCTGGAACACTGGGAATGGGTGAGGGAGCTGGAAAGGGGCTGGAGAACCTGGAATATCTGAGGGAGCTGGGAAGGGGCTGGAAAACTGGGAATAAGGGAGCTGGGAAGGGGCTGGAGCAGCAGGAATGGCGGAGGGAGCTGGGAAGGGGCTGGAGAACCTGGAATATCTGAGGGAGCTGGGAAAGGGGCTGGAGAAAAGGGAATGGCGGAGGGAGCTGGGAAGGGGCTGGAGAACCTGGAACAGCTGAGGGAGCTGGGAAAGGGTTGGAAAAGCAGGAATGGCTGAGGGATCTGGGAAGGGGCTGGAGAACTGGGAATGGTTGAGGGAGCTGGGAAGGAGCTGGAGAACAGGGAATATCTGAGGGAGATGGGAAGGGGCTGGAGAACTGGGAATAAGGGAGCTGGGAAGGGGCTGGAGCAGCAGGAATGGCTGAGGGAGCTGGGAAGAGGCTGGAAATCCGGGAATATCTGAGGGAGCTGGGAAGGGGCTGGAAATCTGGGAATAANAGGGGCTGGAAAACTGGGAATGGCTGAGCTGGGAAGGGGCTGGAGAACCTGGAATATCTGAGGGAGCTGGGAAGGGGCTGGAAAACTGGGAATGGTTGAGGGAGTTGGGAAGGGGCTGGAGAACCGGGAATGGTTGAGGGAGCTGGGAAGGGGCTGGAGAACCTGGAATATCTGAGGGAGATGGGAAGGGGCTGGAAAACTGGGAATATCTGAGGGAGATGGGAAGGGGCTGGAGAAAAGGGAATGGCTGAGGGAGCTGGGAAGGGACTGGAAAAGCAGGAATGGTTGAGGGAGCTGGGAAGGGGCTGGAAAACCTGGAATATCTGAGGGAGCTGGGAAGGGGCTGGAAATCTGGGAATAAGGGAGCTGGGAAGGGGCTGGAGCAGCAGGAATGGCTGAGGGAGCTGGGAAGGGGCTGGAAAACTGGGAATGGCTGAGGGAGCTGGGAAGGGGCTGGAAAACTGGGAATGGGTGAGCTGGGAAGGGGGTGGAGAACCAGGAATGGCTGAGGGAGCTGGGAAGGGGCTGGAGAACCTGGCATGACTGAGCTGGGAAGAGGCTGGAAAACTGGGAATGGCTGAGGGAGCTGGGAAGGGGCTGGAAATCCGGGAATATCTGAGGGAGCTGGGAAGGGGCTGGAAATCTGGGAATATCTGAGGGAGCTGGGAAGGGGCTGGAGAACCAGGAATAAGGGAGCTGGGAGGGGGCTGGAGAACCTGGAATATCTGAGGGAGATGGGAAGGGGCTGGAAAACTGGGAATGGCTGAGCGAGCTGGGAAGGGGCTGGAGAACCAGGAACGGCTGAGGGAGCTGGGAGGGGGCTGGAAAAGCAGGAATGGTTGAGGGAGCTGGGAAGGGGCTGGAAATATGGGAATGGCTGAGCTGGGAAGGGGCTGGAGAACCGGGAACAGCTGAGGGAGCTGGGAAGGGGTTGGAAAAGCAGGAATGGCTGAGGGATCTGGGAAGGGGCTGGAAAACTGGGAATGGTTGAGGGAGCTGGGAAGGAGCTGGAGAACAGGAATATCTGAGGGAGATGGGAAGGGGCTGGAGAACTGGGAATAAGGGAGCTGGGAAGGGGCTGGAGCAGCAGGAATGGCTGAGGGAGCTGGGAAGGGACTGGAAAAGCAGGAATGGTTGAGGGAGTTGGGAAGGGGCTGGAAAACTTGGAATGGCTGAGGGAGCTGGGAAGGGA